TTCGCACAACACAGAGTCTACCATCAACGCAGACATCACCATGGCAGGCGTCGGGTCATCTCTCAAAGGCCGTCTCATCCTGATCACTGGTGGCACGTAAGTGTCGTTCTGCACTAGAAGCACCTGTCCTGCTGAATTGGATAACGACTACTAGCGGAGGGATTGGCCAGGCGACAGCGAAGGCATTCGCTCACGTCGGCTGCTCTATCGCCATTCACTACAATGCGGCGTCCTCCAAAGCCAAAGCCGAGACTCTGATGGGCCAGCTCCAGACTCTTGCGCCCCCCGGCGTCACACCGCGATTTGCCTCCTTCCAAGCAGACCTTTCCAGCTACGACGAGGCCCGTAGACTGCACGCAGATGTCGTGCAGACTCTTGGAAATCCAGACATCTTATACAGTAATCATGGCGTAGCGGGTCCCGTAATTGGTCCTGAGGGCAACATCAAAGATATTCCTATTGACGTCTTCGAGGAGACATGGCGGACGAATACAGGGACGAGCTATCTGGTGTGTCACTGTGAGCATAATTCGACGTGAAGTCGATAGTAAACGCTTCATCAGCTCGCTCAACTATGCGTGCCATACATGGAGTCCCAGCGCTGGGGGCGTATCATCTTTGCATCTAGGTACTGATAGACCATTTGATTTCTTCGCAGAAGGCTGACTTGTTTATGACAGCGTTGCGGCAGGTAATTTACAACCATCGCTCTCACCTGCATATATAGTCTTCTAAAGTGATGTCCTTTAAGGTAATGGTGGTGTGATCGGTCCCCACTATGCCTCTTCCAAATCCGCACTGCACGGCCTTGTCCATTGGCTATCTCTCCGATACGCCAAGGATGGAATTGTAAGCCGATTTGGTCCACGTTTTCTGTTATATCACACGTTTGACAATCGGTAGACCACCAACGCGATTGCGCCTGCACTGATCGAAGGTAGACGTCACCCCCCGGAGCCCGACATCCCGCTCACCGCGTCCGCAGATACCAACATGATGGCAAACCCTGCCCCGTCCGCGAAGGTGAGTGATTAACCATGCTTGTTCCCCATAACTATTAGCAAAAGAATATAAACTTGCCTCTTACAGAGTAAAATTCCGGTGGGAAGACTTGGAAAGCCATCTGAGATGGCAGACATCGTTTTGCTACTGGCCTCCAACGGCTACATGACGAATAAAGTACGTCCGCTTCGACTAATGAGTTCGTGGGTTGTCTAATCGCAACGAACAGGTTATTGTTGCCGACGGAGGTTGGACTGTCGGCGGGTTTTAAGTGCGGTTACGACTAGCTATGGATCATGTAGGAAGTATATCAACAGAAGAAGCAAGCAGAACGTGTAATTACTCGATACAATATGTAGCCATGATTACAGTATAAACTCCATACAGTTAGTGAGGCCCGACACCGATGATTGTATGAATGGGTATCCTAGAGCAAAAGCATGCGGAGAACAGGCAGAACGATTAATGATAGACGTGAATGCAGAGTGACAAGAGAAAGAATATCATGACAGTCCGTTGAGCATGTCATCGAGCAGGTGACGAGCTAGGTTTCGTAAGACCGTGCGCATCTGTGATGTCGCTGAGTCTGTGGTTTCGTTTATTCTCGAGCTCCAGTTGCCGCTGCAGGCTTCTACCGGAAATGAAATGAATTTAATACCCGTGACACGTAGGGAAAAAAGAGTGTTCACTGACTTCAATTGCGCATCCAACTCAAAGACGCGCTCCTTCGCGCCTTGGCGTTCACGCTTAACAGTCTCCTCAGCCTTCTTCAGCCGCGCCTCGTACTCACGCACACGGGCTTCCCACTTGCTATCTGCCACGGTCGTCTTCTGGTTCATTGTGCTGACCTTCTCCTCAGATGCGAGCAGCTGATTTTGTAAGTTTGTGATGCGCCGTTCGGCGTTCGTCGCCCGAGCCGTTAAAGCACGAACTTCCATCGTTTCGACACCTCCCGGTTTGCGGATGCTCACGAGTTGGGCCTGCAGTTCTGAAGCCGTTGCCTATAATGTGCATGGATAAGCGTAAGCACAAGCGAATAGCGTATGAGGCGTGACAAACCTTGAGAGCTTCGACTTCGCCCTCTCGCGCACTGAGCTTCTTGCGCCAGGTCGTCTTCTGGTCTGCAATCGTCTTGAGGCTAGATTCAAATTTGTCGATCTGTTTCCACCGGAAGTCAAGCTGTTTCCGCATATCTCCCAGCTTATCCGAATACTTCGCCTCTGCTTCCTTCACACGCTTATCGAAGACAAGTTGAATCTCACTCAACGCCTTCAACCGTGTAATGAGGTTGTCGTGGAAGATACTGAAATTGGTGAACGGCTTGGTCTCTGCCTGTCCATTCTTCTTCTGCATACCAAAACCCCGGACTCCGTGAGTCCACAACAGACGACGGCAACTGCGATCTCACTTACCGGCGTTTTGTCGACACCGAGGATCTTGTCCATGTATTGGTAGATCGTCAATAAAAGGGTGTTTCTCTCGGTCAACTGATCGCGGTACTGCGTTTCGGCAGATAAGAGTGATCGCTGGTCTTTAGCAAGGCGACCCTCAAGATCAGCCACTTTAACGCGGAAGTTAGCCACGTCGATCTCTGCAGCTCTGAGACTAGTCATAGTCTCGTCAAGCTTTTCAGATACGTTCAAACGAGCTTGCGTCTGCGCTGCAAGCTGCGATGCCAAATCGCGGTTTTCCGCATGCAACTTGTCCATCGCGCCGTCACGTTCGCGACCCTTGCCCTCTCGGTCGTCGAGCTCTTTGCGTGCACGACGAAGTTCATCCTCGAGTCGCTCTAGGTCGCGTTTCATCCTGTCGACTTCCAGCTGCAGAGAGAATCGAGCGGTCGTGTGCGACTCGCCAAGCTTTTTCGATTCGGCTTCGAGCGTCTGCAGCGCGGCTTGTACAGCAGCGAGATCTACTTCACGCTGCGAAAGCAAAGTCTCTGTTCGAGCAAGATCATTGAGCGCAGATTGAAGAGCGGACTCCTTCGCCTCGAGAGAACGCTGTTCTCGTCGAATGGCAGCATCATGATCCTGCTCGGCCTTGTCGAGGTCAGCTTCGAGACGCTCCCGACTAGCACGTTCGCGTTTAATCTCCTCAACAAGGTTCTCCACATGCTGAGCGAGTTCCTCAGAACGCGATCTATGAGTAGACACCTCCTGGCCACGCGTTTCATAGAGGTCAACGGCCTCTTGGAGCTGAGACTTTAATCCAGAGACTTTCTGCAGAGAAACAGTTAGCACTCGTTCTATGCGAGAATATATGCATCACCTCTTTGAAGGCAGATACTAATGCCTCTAGTCGGTCACGTTCTGCGGCTTCATCCTCCCTCAATCTCTCGCTGGCCTCGCGAAGACGTTCGTTCTCTTCCTCAAGTACATACACCTGCTCACCCAGCTTTTCGATCTCGCGATTGGCAGCTTCGATCTCTGCATCTTTCTCCTCTGACTCGCGTTCAAGATGAGCCAGAGCGGTTTCAAATTTATCATGCAGGTCGTTCGTGTCGGCTTCGAGCTCAGTGATATGCATACGTAGCTCCTTTGCCTCGGCATCTCGTTGCTCCAGTACCTGTCGTAATGCTAGACGGTCAGTGCCAGTACGTCTAAGAATCGTAAGACCCACATCTTTCAGCTCTTCTACCTGTCCCCTTGCTTCCTCAACCTCGCCCCTCCACTCATCATCAAGGGTCTCTACTATCCGCGTGTGTTCCGAAACAAGCTCCTCGATTTCTCTGTGTTTAAGTTCCATATCATCCTCCCTCTGCTGTAGCTCAATCTGTGCAGCCGCAAGTTTATCGCGTGCTGCATTGAGATCATCTTCCACCGCTTCTCGTTCTTCTCGCTCCTCGAGAACCTGCGCTCGACTCTGGCTCCGCTCGATCGACTCGGCGTCTCGTCTCCGCTGCAGGTTCTCGACCTCGAGCTTGAGGCCCTCTAATACGTCTGCCAAGTCTTCCTTCTCATCCTCCTTTCGGGTCACGAGTTCTTCAAGGTCATCCATCTTGAGCCTCAATTCCTCGTTTTCGTCCTCTAGTTCTTGTACGCGCCTTCTCCATCGGTCAGCTCTTCCGTCACCCATAGACTCATCAGCCCTTCGCTCTACCAATTCTTTGAGTCGTTCCATCTCGTCCGCGTTTTCTTCCAGCAACCCACGAACGTTCTCCAGTTCCTCTTCAAGCTCCGCGTTCCGGGCCTCCACCTCCTTCAATGCACTATCATCTGGACCCATCCCACGCCTCCGTCTGAGCTCTCTAAGCTCTCGTTCTCGCTCTTCAAGCTTCTCTTCAAGGTCCCTCGCACGCGTCTGCGCACCCCCTGACCCGCGCTGCAACCGTTCCAATTCGCGTTCCAATTCCAGTACGAGCTTTTTAAGCTTCTTCATTTCTACCCCTCGTTGTTGCACCTCAATCTTGAGGTTGATGTTCTGCTTCAACGCCGCGTCGATCTGATCTGGCGCAAGCTGTGCAAGGCGTTCCTCCAAGAAATGCACCTTGAGCTTAATGTTGAAGTTCTCCTTCTTCAGGCTGTCGATGTGCTAGCGACGAGGCGTGGGTTCACATGAGATCAACTTGTACTGATTTGATACAGACACACCTTCTCCTGATCGCGGAGCGTGAGGTTCACGCCCCCTTTGGAGGCTGTACTCCGTGTTCGCTTCGAACGGCCAGGTGCGGGTGTGGCAGACACATCATCCCACCGTTTTTCTCGACCAGGCGTGTCGAGCACGTCCCCGTCTGCATCCTCACCTTCCTCCTCGTGTCCGGAGAGGCCGAAGCGCTTCGCGTTCGGCGTAGCCTCCTCCCCTCTCCTTCGAGAAAAGGATGGCAACCCATTCGGTGGCGAAGGTGTTGATAGAGGGGCTGTGGATGTGGCTGTGGTTTGGGACGAGGAAGATGGGATTCTGGGATTCCGGCTGGGGAGTGAAATACCCGAGACGAATGAGTTGAGGGAAAAGTCCGGATGCGTACCCGCAGATTGGGACGATGTGTCTGGCCGTATGTTGAGCGCGGCAGACATTATGCACGTCCCTCGTGCCTCCCGTCGAAGACGAGTATAGTCGCTTGAGGACTCGCGCGGTGGAGCTTTGGACTTGAGGGTGTCACTGTGGTCGTGCGGCATTGGACTTGCGGTTGAGTATCATGTGACTCATGTTTGGAAACCCAGCAAAAACTCTAACTCTTTGTCCAATGCCATATACTTTCTCTTAATCGGCTCTTTTCACTCGAAGTATGGCTAGTCGTGGAGGCAGATTCACGAAAGTAACTCAAGTTTGGTGAATGCTACGATTGGGTTAAGGTTTGGATCAACTTGGATTGCTCTCATTTCAACCTTGTTTATTTAGGTTTACTTGAAGTGTTCACCTAGTGTTCCCACGATGAGCTTTTAATCAGTGGTGACAGTTGATATAATAACATCCTGTCCTACTGGTTCGTTGGCCTCCAAACGTCTCCTCAACCCCACTTTGAGGCGGATTGAAAAGTGCCGCAGGCTAGTTAACCCACAAAACCCGATTCCATCTCGCTTCCCTCATGTTCAAGTTTGTGCTGTCTGACTTCCCATTCATCGCATGCTCAATTGCCGGATTTCTGGCCATACATGGACTACGCAAGAGATCACTCTCTCCTTCAGGTGCCGCCGCCGCCTTCGTGGTCGGCTTCACCATGATAGCGGTCCCTCTGCATGTGTTTGGGGCATCGCTCGTTGTTTTTTATCTGATTGGTTCGCGTGCCACTAAAGTTGGCAAGCAGCTGAAGGCATCGCTAGAAGAAGCACACCAGGAGGCTGGATACAGAACCGCAGCGCAGGTGCTGTGCAACTCCGCATCTGCATTCGCTGCGTCCCAGCTGTGGTCAGCGTTCTTCGTTCCCGGCTCGGTGCTTGGAACCATACTGTCCAACGCGCTATCGCCGCAAATGCCGTACGACTTGGTGCGCTGGTGTCCGCTCACACCTCCCGCGTCTGCATCATGGAGTCGTCCTCTGCTATTTATGAGCCTGGGGTGGGTTTTCTTAATTCATACCAAGGGTACAGCGCCTCACCATTTTGAAGGCATTTTGCTTGCTCTCTGGGTGATACACTTGCATCTGAGTTGGGAATCCTTTCGCGCTCTCCGCCAATCCTGATTACTACTCTTAAATCTGTTCCTCCTGGTACTAATGGTGGAATGTCCGTTGTGGGCACGCTTGCTTCTATCGGGGGCGGGCTTTTGATGGGTTTGACGTTTGCAACGTCTCTCTTGATAGAGAGTGCCGCGTGCAGAGCGCAATGGATTGATATTGTGCTACAACTTGCAACGTGGAGCACGATAGCTGGCGGATTGGGCTCGCTAGTAAGTGCCCCTTTATTGATGTCCAGCGAGGTTATAAACATGTGCCGGCCAGCTGGACTCCTTCCTCGGCGCGACTATCCAGCGCACCCGGTACTCCAACATAACGAAACGTATACTTACGGACGAGAGCGGCAAACCTCGAAGCACTGATGATATCAAGGTTGTGAGTGGTTACGACATACTTACCAACAATCAAGTACGTTTTAGTCTTCTGATCCCATGCAACATTGTCTGAGCGTAAAATGCGGGATTTTCCAGGTGAATTTGCTGTCTTCCATCGTAGTTGCCCTCGCTCTCGGCACCCTGGCTTGAATCACGTTGTGTCGTCTGGTCTCACTCAAATTTCGCGCGTGTGTTACGATGGGGCCTAGAACGCATATCCCTCCAAAGAGTAAGGTCTCCATGTTCCGATGCATTCAAATGTACATCCTGCCTTATCGCCCACTGGCTGTATATGAGCCATCCGCAGGTGATTGCCACAACGTCATCTTGTCATCCGGGGCCCTGGTTCGGATCTCCAGCAGGAGCGGCATCAAGTCGATAGCTAATTACCCGGTCATCTGCAGGCTAACCCTAACCCGCCATTCCTGAGAGTGCACGTCGAGTGCCGGTCCGTTGTCTTCTCGTTTCCTGTTACCGTACTCGGTTTGTTTCCTGCTTTGTTGCCTCGTGCTAGCTAAAATGAGTTGTGTGTCTGATGTGATGTTCTGCTCCGTAAGGATCACACAGCGATGGTTCGCTCAGATGACGGAGGAACTATAAGAAAGAGCGCGTATCTGACAGGGGTTCTGTGCCATCATTATACACCATTGTGCTAAATCCGCCAGCCCTGATATGTTGCCTCGTGCGATGCGCTACAACCGACATGCTCGTCGCAAATCTACCGATTGTGCCCTAACGCCTGAAGTGCACGCTGGCACACTGACACGCAGAAGCCACGTGTGGTGTGAAAAATGTGCATTGAACTGCTCACCGCCGTACAAAAGCAACGTACACATGAGGCACATGGTCGAGGAACACCCTAATTTCGCGTGCGACACCTTCTGGGAGCTAGTGAAGGAGCGTGCTGGGCTAGGTTTGATGTATGGTGCCTATGGCGGCGAGGAGAGCAGACTTGCCTTGGAAAGCATGTGTATCGATGACATCGAGATAGGCAACTCAACAAAATCGTTTGTACTTATCCTGGGGTTACTCTGGGTTTCTGCCTCGAGCGGGCCGCATGTTGTGCACTGCCTCGGATGATTCGGGGAGATGCAGCGCCCGAAACAAACGGTAAGTCGCCGTAAGTGCAATCTTCGCGCAAACGTTCTGTCGTAGTCTCTGGAATGGAGACCGCTGTGAAGGGGGAAAATTGCTGTCCGCCCCAGTCCATTCGGGAGCAATTTAAAGGTTGATGTGATGAGACCCTGTGGTAAATTGGCCCAGAGTGGTGAGCTGAGGTGGATTAGTCGTGTTCATGACTTCTCCACACGCTGGTCTGGTGGTCTGAATCGGAGATTATACGACTGATAGGCGTCTAAGAGGCGCTCGAAAGAGCTGGCGGAGGCCTGCGCGCGCAGTCGAAAGCAGTGTCGGGGCGTGGAGAGGGAGGCAGCTGCAGCCGACAATGAAAGGAGAAGCGACAATGGGAGGCGGGGGCAGTTAACGTTGGCGATGGGAGCTGCGAGCGGAGGGACGGCTGTGATCGGGGTCCTGGGACTGCCGCCGTACGAGAGACATGCGGAGACTGCCTGCTCAGAGCTCGGTCGAGCTGTCAGTATTCCTCTCTCCATCCTCCGCTCCTCTTCCTCCTTGCTCGTCTCGTTTATCCTTCTCTCTTTTGTTCTGCTCCGAATAATGAGTCTGTGATATTCCCGTCCGCAAACATCTCGCAAGTCGGGCGATCGCTTGTCAGTCACCATTGCTGCATCCAGCGGTGCGACCCGTGAATCATGCTCACCCTCCGTTTTATCCATGCAGTGTCAGAACACAGGCAGCGGCAGTATAATGATCACGTACATGGCTTTGCCTTCTCCTCTTGACGACTGCTATTATCTTGGGACGACGCGCCACAGTGACATTTCGCCACCTCTCTTACCCAGCCAGTGCCCCTTCCAAACTCCGTGGCACAGTCCACACGGTGCCTGTGCATTTTGCGCCAACCCGTCGCCTGCCTTTGTACGTGACTCTATTCTTGCGCCACGCCAGAACGACCTCCAGTCGTCTCAAGACACTGGTCACACTGTCCTCCCCAGTAGATCCTACCCTTCGCCTCCCCTTACCGGTTCTACATTGCGATCTACCGTTCCATTGCCCGATATATTCGGAGAATCCTCCACAGACTATTACATGCTCAGGAAGTTTGCCAAGGCCGGACATCAGAGTATGCCGCTGGAAACAGCAGCCAACATACGTGAACCGCTTTCGCCCCCGCCTACACATCTGCTTGGTACGCATGACTTACCGGACGTGGGTTCATCAAGAGGGAGCCTTTCTTCTAGTTTGATTCCTGACTCGGAAGTATGCTTGCATACCTCTAGTGAGGATAGCTCACAGCTCACTGCGACGATTCGCTCTCTGTACAGGACAGATAGAGCGGATCTTACCATCGACTGTGACGTGCCTTCACAGTCGAGCTCGTTTGGCCGCGGACCTTCAACAGGTTGGAGCTGCGAGGGCAATCCTTCCGGTTTAGACACAGTACCAGAGGACTCAGTGCTTGATTCCCATTCCACCCCTTCGCGTGCCGACTCCGGTTTCGAAGAGTTCTTTCCGCAACGGGATTACAAGGGCGAGAGGTTACCGGATCTAGAAGAAGAACCAGATGCCCCGTTCTCCAAGATAGAACCCAGTTCGTATTGGACGCCACAGTCACCCGTCAGTATTCATTCGCTCCTCGACGATCGTTCTGCAAGCAATCCTGCTGTAGGAAGGGGAGACTATCGTCAAGATTCTCTGCTTCCCGTATCGCCGATGCAATGCGAGCAAAATGATCGTACGCCTAGCTGGAGTAGCGTCTGCTGCTCGTCATGGAGTGATCGCGACAGTGATTTTTCTCCGCCAATTTCTCCTCGGCCATCAATATCGCTAAATCTACCAGACTTGGATGATTTTCCTTCACATGAACATCCTGAATGCGCCTCTTGCGGCGCGGACGATGAACATATCATGGTTCTTGGTTCGTCGATTTCTCCATCGCGGCCGCGTTCTTGGTTTGGCTTGCAAGACCGGCAAGTTGAAGACGCGCGTTACCCCGATACCCACCGTATAGACACTATGACCGTTGACAGCGAACCGCCGCCCTCCTCACCACGTCCACCACCGATACATTTGTCGTTATCTGACCCGGATTCCGATATCTCTTTCTCTGATACGATAATTCCTGGTGACGACGACCTGTGGGGTTCGCCGTTGGCATCGCCCTCTTCATGGCAGACTTCATCCATGCCCTTTCAGAGTACGCTTCAGGACAACATGTGTGTCACGCCGTTGCCACGTTCGCCACACCATACGCTCGCCTCGCTCTCAGATTTTGATATGTCTGAATCGCTCGAAGAACCGGATTCGCCTTCGTCGCCTAATATTGATTTACCTCTTTTGCCAGGAGAGTATAATCAGCCTCCTGCAGATGAACACACAGCAGCGCTGTCGGTCCCCGGACCATCGGGCGATCACGAAGGACTGGGTCTCTTCCTGCAGCCAGTCTCAGTGGACCCTCCACTGGCACGTTCGCCTTCCCCAGATGACGACGACCTGCAGTTCCTCGATGTCCAGCTCGATCCGACCTCGTCCAAACTTGAAGTCGACGAATTCCTTCAGCTCCGCGCCGTCCGCCGCCGGGCTTTAAGCGCAGAACGTGCCGCCCGCCTAGCCGAGACCGAGTTCGGAGAGCTCGTGAGCAATGCTGCACATGCGCTTCTTCCGCCTGCGACTGCGTCGCAGCCCTCGGAGGCGCTCGATCCGGAGACGAAGCGCATCCGGAAGCGCGAGCTGCACCTCGCGATGGACATGCGTGCGGAGGCGCGCCACGCGCGCAAGTTTGAAAAACAGCGGAGCAAGGAGATCGGCGCGCTGATGGACCTCAAGATGGAGCGCGGTATCGCCCCGGGGCCGGGCGCCATGCGCAGCATGGGCCAGCTCGTCGCTAATATGGTGCTCCGGCGACGCGACACATTCCGCCCGCTTGCGAACCGCAACACAGGCGCACTGGTGCAGCCGCACACCCGCTCGCCGCTGGTGCATTGCTTCTACTCCGAGGACTTGCTCGCAGGCTGGGCGGACTTGGACGACGATGCAGATGCAGATGCAGATGCGGGTATCGACGCAGATGTCAACGTCGACGTGGACGCGGGCCCTTTTTGGGGCGCGTACGCGGATATGGACGTTGACCTCGACGTGGATGCGGACATGAATTTCAGCGCCGAGATGTGGGTGGACACGAATGGCGATGTGGACGAAGACATGGGACAGTGATGTTGTGCCTTGCTCTGCTGCTGGAGGCAATGGCAAGGAAAATGGTGAGCGTCGTTCGATGCGGAGCTCGCCGTGGCCGCTGTGACTTATTGGCTCAAACTAATCGCCTGGCAGGTATGAAAGGCAACGAACTGTGTACAGTATGATCGGTACCTCCATGCATGCACCTGTAGCTTTTAGTGTCATTTTAGTCATATCATGCATACCCTGCTTGATCTATTTCAACAAATGCTATGATTGCTTATCGCGGACACACTGGCGTGAATATCTGACTGTTATAGATTAGTGTCAGGAATGTTTCCGAATTGATGGCGAATAAGTATGGATAATGGTACAGGAGGTGAGTGTACAACAAGTGATAAATGTCAGTTTACAAATAGATCAGCCTACAGATGTGATCAAGCAAGTGGTCCCAGGGCTTTATCATGTCCAGTACTACTCTATGCATGTTCTCCGCTGCGCCTGTGCAACATGGCTGCAGCACGTTGTGCCAGTGTCTCCTTTCCCGCGTGCGCGTGGGGCTCCAAGTCCTCTGGATTGACACCGCGCTTGGACGTGGCGTACGCCCGGCACGCATCACTGCTCTGCTTGAGCGCGGGATCGCGGTAATCGAACGTGACAGCGATGAAGCCAGGAAAGTTGAACTCGAAGAGCTCCTTCACACGCGGAAGGAGCGCGCCATCGGGCGCATACGTGCCAGACTTGTTGTCGATGACCAACTCCCAGCGGACGTCGTCATCGGAGCGGTCGTCCGCGAAATGCTCCCAGCCGCCCTCGGGGCGCGGGTGGAACTCACCAGAGTAGAGCACGGCCTCAGCGCAGTTGGAGTGCAGTGCATGCTTCGAGGCCATGTTCACGAGAAATGTTGCTCCCGTCTCGGAGAAGCGCAGCGAGTCGTCGTCTACAGAGATAATGTATGTGTAAACCGCGGGCTTGATGCGGTGCGCGAACGGCCCCGGTGAGCCGTTCTTACCGGCGTGCCCGTGCAGGAGGTGAAAGACGTCCGTAGGGGTGTCAAGTACCCCGAAGCCGTTGGTGGCAGCGCGGGCGTAGAGCATTCGGTGTCCGCTATGGATCACGGAGCGCACGGCGAGTGCAGTAGCGCCTTGGAAAATCGAGCGCGCTTTGGCGTAGTCTCTGTTCCAGGGTTGAATCTGGTCTCCGAAGAAGTGGCGCACGCCCTTGATGTATACTTTCCAAGTCGAGTAGAGACGGTTATCGACGCTCGTGATGCGACCGACTGTGGGGGAAATGTGCCGTGAAAAGCGAACGGGACCGTCGAAGGTGTAAGGATAATGATGAGCATCAGGGTCGTTCGATGGAATCAAGTCAATCTAGGAGTAGTTTAGGATATACTTGCAGGATAGACAACCGACGACATACCGTAAGTACGAAAGACCCTCTATTTCTCTTCAAAGCCTTGTCCTGTATTCTGATCTCCTGCTCGCCCGATGAGACTGGAATGCTAAATTGACCAATGTAGTCGTCTGTGAAGCTATTGCTGTCTTTGTCGAGGATCTCGACCCAAAGCGTTGCGTGCTGGGGCACATTCTTGATTTTCCACAGCTCGTCCCATTTGGGTGCACGTGTGCCACTCTGCACTGATGATCTACGGGTTAAAATCTTGAACTCGTGATAGTTATAAGAGGTGCAGGCACATACTCACATGAAAGTGAGCTTATCATCAAGCTTGGCGACAAAGTATGGGTCTGCACTACCAACTACATCCATCTTTGGGAGCCCCGAAGCTCCCACAAAGTGGATGTTCACGTCAAAGAAAGCCATGCCCACTGGATCACCTGCTGCGAGAGCTTCCTCAGCGAGGGCAAGGGGGTGGGTTGTCTCCTGAGATCTGGAGAAGAGAGCCTGGATGCGTTCTGTTATATAGGAGAGCTGGAGGGGGTTTTTGCGACCTGGCATGTGCCGTGACTCGCATGCCATCGGATACGACAATCATTCTCCTGTCGACGCATTGGAGTCTTAAGTTCGACGCAAACCCCCACACACGTGAAGCACGCAGAGGAGCATAGGCGTCTCACCTTGGGTAGTTGCAGCGACTACGTCATCCCGCGCCTGTCGCAATATAGTAAGTAAACAACAAATACGCTCTTCTTTCTGATCAATATCACAACAGATAACAAAAGCTCGCAGCTACACAAGCTTTCAGTCGAAGTATTATCCTCGGTCTCCTGAATCAGCGACAATTGTGGAGCAAAGTTCAGTTGCTTTGAGTAGTCGCGAATCCAACAGCGATTCATGCTCTCAACTCCATCCTGTACTTGTCATGAACAGGCATCCGACATGCAGCAGGATCCCGAGTGATCCGTCAATTAACCACGGCTAGGTCATCTTGGGCCCTAAGGTTGCCTAGACCGTTTTCCTGTATTGTCTTGCTGTTATTCATGTCCGTCCATGTTCAATACAAAATACTGTTCTGTAGCCAGTTACACGCACGAGAAATCGATACAGAGAGCTTAGAATTGAAATACTTTGTGCGAGACGGCCGATTCCACCAAGTCTCACGAGCAAAAGACGCGATTTTTTAAAAGTCCCTGAGCTCAGCTGTCCAAATGCGCACGCTTCAAATACCGAAGACAACTCACGGTCTCAAACAGTGACCTGAAACAATGACAGACAATCGCAAGAAAAACTTGACGGAAATCATACCCCATATGAAACCGAAACTGAAGCTGTAGACGTAGTGCACAATTGCGCTCAGTGCGAAACATTGTACACTGTCGGCAATTAGCAGACGACCGTGACAGTATTGAAAGGACAAAGATTCAGCGGAAGACGCGTGAACACAACTCGACAGAAAACATATGTACCTTACAAGAGGATGCGAGTTAGCTGGTCGTCCCGCAAAATAATGATTCAGATTTGATAGATTGCTTCAGGTATTATAGGGATCAGAGTGGTCTCGTCCCCAGCGTGTCTTCGACACGTCTGGGGACGAGACCAGATCAGAGATTCACATACCTGAGGACGCTTTCGTCAATGGGATTGATACGGCAGGCCACTCTAGGCATGAAGGAATAGATTGAAGACTCTATTAGAAGGATCCCAACAAACCTGACCATATCTGCGGGCATGCAGAGGCTAGGATAGGGCACGCATTTACTATGGGTGTGCGCGTACTTGCAACCACTGAAAATGTATCAGACCAAGCCTAGAGGCTAGGGTAGGGCGTACTCGTACATCTACTGCCGCTTGATGCATTCAGATCAAGCCGTAACTCACAGTACAGTACATAATGTATCACCCTGCCAGGTACTGGTGGATGACGATGTATTTCTGGTGGGTAGATTTTTACACTTCCTTACGCTCCGAGGCCGTGCGACGAAACGTCATAGATTTTACAAGCAGCGGGATATCCTCAAATAAACCTTACCATTCGCAGCCTTGCTAGCGGGCTACATAGTGAACAGCAGATATTTGTTGCGTTGCGAGCTACAAGAGAGATGATGACGTCAACTCGTACGGGTACAAGCTCATGTGCGCGGGAGCGACACGCGCGTGTCACGCAGACCTGCCAGTTCGTCGAGATTGCGATGAGGTGATACGCGGTCGCTGACTATTTCTGCACACGGTGTAGGCTACCCGCGAAGAAACAGACGAGCTCGAGTCGAGTCGAGTCGAAGACAAGCGAGCGGCAAGCTCAAAGACCTAGGCCAAGTGGCAAGCCTTGGCCGCGCGGCATTAATAGAGCGGTTTTGTTAGGCATAATTATGATTCAGTTGACATGCCGTTGGGTGCCATGTTTATAGGCAGGGAGAGTGGTGGAGTGATCTCCTGCCAAAACAAAGATAAGTACACACCGCAACGCGCCGTGGGCTGCGGCTCAGCCCATTTACTCGATCCTTGCAATTTTGCGAAGCGAAAACGCGAGGCCTATCGTTTCCACCTTTTTTTGTTTTGTTTCATGCGTTCATGTCGTCACGCTCCTTAACTACGCGACAAAGCGCAACATGTGAAATTATAAAGTGCGTAACTAGATGTGTAACACGAAGGGAACGGTCACCGCTTCTCTGAACTTACAATAGTAGATACAGCGCTTGATACACGCATGATACACAGACCTGCTCGTATGCAACGAGTGCTCCCATAGCATCTTTTTGATCTTCGCCGGCGACGGCAACAGCAGCGGCGGACCACGCGCAAGCGGACTAACTTCAGACTGACCGATGCAAATTTATCCCCACCGTAAGATTCAGACGGCGTGTGGATGTGACTTGATGTCAGACATTTCCTGGTGCGACGTCGGTGACGGCAGTGGATTGTCGATCACGTAGTCAACAGTCTTGTCAACAGTAATTTGCATCTGCGAGCACACTGTCAGTGAAAGGCCCAACAGTAACTGACGAATAGATGAGTGTGCTGACCTTAGTGCCTGATAGGTCAACCGTCTCCTGCTAAGCGATACAATACTCAGGGGGCATTCCCAAGCCAGGACGAGAAGGGAAGAAATCGCACCACTGATTGCCTATGCCGCCGCGAGAAGCGGTTCGAGAGGCTGGCAGGGAACCCGTGGCCACCAGATTCTGAGTTGCTAACATGTTGCGCTCGTAAGAGCTTCCGCGCATTCATGCTAGACAAGTATCAGCACTATCACGACGATATAAGATGTATGTAAGCGCACGATGCAAGGAAGGAATTGCTGTAGACTTTGAGGATAAGTTCAGCTGAGGTTTAAAACCATGAAGGGAAGAATAGAGGCGAACGTACGCTTGCTAATTGCGAAGTGCAAACCAAGATAGACCAGCTCGTGCGGTTTCACTAGCCACTATATCAGAATGTGCACGTCAGCTTTATCAGATAACCTAATCAGCCGATTTATATGCTTACGAAGACCAGAGATATAGCAGTGGCAATACTTCGGTCGAGGAGTGTAAGCGATAGCAAATTCTCATGCGAGAAGCACTCACCAAGTTGCCATACCGTTCTCGATGGTGTAAAGTGTCATTGAATCAAGAATATTGTCCAGCCTGGAGATGTAGTTCAGTGCTACATCACGGCGGAAGCATGCAAGTCTCACCTCCCGGTACCACCTCGTCGGCTCCTCCTGAGGTAAGTGCACAAACTGAAGGTGATCATGACATCGACGGCGGTGGACAGGGAAAGGCCCAGTGTGAACAGCCACTACAAGAACGCGTCATCTGCATGTGGATCAGAAGACTAAGTGGACGGGAACGTACGCGGAAATGAGCGTAAAATTCGGAAAACTGGCCGAGCTTGATCCTGAAAACATCATGATGAGGCCCTGGAAATTCGGGAACAAGTAGGTGGACGAACAATTCGATAGAGGTAGCTGAAAGCCAAGGTTGTAAGTATAATGCCAGTCAGAAGCAAGTCGGACCACTAACCTGTGGCAGACGCTGCCGTCCAAGATGCATAGAAGTGAAAATCAGAATTCAGGGATGACAAGGATTCGACATACCAAATCGGGCCAGTGCCAACAACACCTACACGGCTGCTATTCAGCACGTCTCAAGACACATATATACTGCTCCACTCACAAGAGGCAATGTAATAAAGTAATTGCCCTTGCTCACTATACAAATATTAGCAATGCCTCAGGTGATCGTACATAACAAAACTCACATCGGAATAAACGATACGAAAAGAATCTACCGCAGGTTGTTCAGCTGCAAGACGTTTTGCAGACGAAACGAGATGCTCACAAATGAACGGTAACGGTTGTAGCTGCCTATGCACGATATGCCATTGGTTAGCTTCGAAATCCTATCCGCCGCAATCGGACGTACCGTCAGTGCTATTGTCACCTGGGGATAGACGCGAATTACGATTAAACAGGCACAGCAATATGACGAACCGACGTACCCCAGCAGGCCTATGGCATACAACGTGATGTTAGTTGTTCCGCCAGTGGGCGAAGAGAAGAGACATACCAGAATACATGATTGGTGATATTCATGTTCCCAAAGCTGTCGACCATATACATCCAGTCGGCAGCCCACACCATGCACGTGTGCAGTATATCTAGGAAGCTGAATAGACGCACGCTTAGCGGTAGTATGAGTGGCTGTAGCAGGGTACGAACCAGATGGCTCCAACCTACGTGCGTTTGAGTCAGATACATTAGGGCGAGGCAGAAGCGGCAGAGACGTACTACGAGCTTAAGGCCAGACTCGTCCCTTTCAAAAATCCGGAAGTAGAGAATGGTCTGCATAACAACCACTCCGGATAGGCTAGCAACGCGCTGTTATTTTGTGGTGGTACTCAATGGGCAGATGAAAATGCTCACGCTGTGGCGGCAAGGCCACCGATGAGAAGACCACCCAGACTGCCGGTCAAGTTGCTCGGTGTGACCTGGAAGGACGACATGAGTGGCCGCTGGAGGAGGATGAGGGGACGGGGTCGGGGGGACGAGAGGAGACGAGGACATTGTAGTTAAATTACACCATGTGGGGTCGTGTAAGAGAACAGCGTATAGAATGGGATCAGATCTTGGATCCTCCACAGCGAGATCACGAATTACGGCAGATTATGTTATCCGGCCTAGAAGCTTCCGATCGCAGCGTTCGCCGTCCCGGAATGGCCTCGAATTCGTCGCAAGCATTTTCTGCCGGCAACATTTGCAAAAAAAAAATACAAATTCCTATCTTTCTGACCGTCTTGCCTGGTTGCCTGGCCCTGTTTCCGTCTCCGCATAAGCACGGCACATCAGTACTCAGTCCCCACGCCGCCACCACCCACAATTCGTGTACAACGTACCTCGCGCCAGACTACCAGTCCACGACCGTCGTGTGACGGTGGACGCATCACCGACTAGGCCTTCTGTACGATGGTGACGCGTCCGAGGTCTTGTTTGCACGCGACACAAGCGGCTGCGAGTCCGACAACAGATCAAAAAGAGGACACCAACGTCTGGATGAACCATTCATCGCTGCTCAGCGTCGGCGGGAGTGGCACACGCTAGCGACCGCCGTGACCTAAAACTCTTCGGCCGGGAGCAAACATAGCTAGTTAGAGCGACCGCCATGTGATGCGCTTACTCGCGCGTGAGTCTGGGGCCCTTGGCCATGGCATGACATTCGGCGCAATTTGGTCCAACTCGGGCTCAATCCTTCAAGCTTCAAGCTTCAAACGTCGAGTATCTTGATCTCCCCGCATGCCGGACTCGGCGGGGTGTCCTCCATCCCCGACGCAACTGGATGAGGCCGATAGACGGCTCGCAGAGTAAGCTGGGTTGAACAGTAACTGTACATTTGAAGTGGGGGGTTCTAACTAAACCTTTGCAACAAAGTTTCTCGAGTTAGCGTAGCCATATAATGTGTGATTGCGCACAGTCTATCACATCTAATTGTTGTGCGCGGGCCCTGTTGCACAGCCTTCAAAAGATCGTATCTTCATAGCGTGTTTCTGCTAGGCTGCGGGAAAGTCCCCGGTGTGGAATTTGTCGCCTTCTTTGAGTTGCTGGCGTCATCATTCACCACATCCAATCCCGGAATTACCGACACCAACTTGAAGGCTTCCATTGCAAATACTGTATGGTATGTAATCTGCTGCAAATCATGCGAGAGCAGCGCCCTACGAAATATATTTTCCTACTCGGATCAAAGAGAGTCTGGAAGATGTAGGACACCTGATGGGTCGGGAAACACTATAGTCGATATGAACGGATCGATGTACCAAAATCCCAGTGCCGTAAAGTGCAGCCAAGCTTACTAGGCTACAGCAGGTGAAGCCAGTATCTTTCGCGACTTGTTAGTTGAGGGTGTGCTTAGCAAGTTATTTGGTATGTCGCGTTCCGAGTCTCCCTTGACAACCAGCCACAATAGGAGAGTCGGCCATGCGCCGACAAGGCCATACTAAGCAAATATTGATCAATAGCTATCATGGAGAACATTGCTCCAGCTCAGAATCGTTTATCTCCGACCCGGGGATGACGCAAAGCTAAGACTTACGAAATTTCGGACTGTCTGTCGAGTAGGGTGAGTTACAAGCTTCGTCAGCGCCCTCAAGGGCGCGGTCCTTCCCCGTCCGATACTTGTACCCTGTGGTAGACACTCGTTCGCAGATTTGTGGTCGCAAGTGCTTGGCAAGTTGGGATACGACACCAGTCGGATCCGAACGTACACCAATCTTGAAATTCCGCACACTGATTTGTATGATGGTGGATGAAGGCGATATGTCTAGACGCGGCAGATGCGCCACAGGCACATTCGGGTGTTATGGAATTAGTGTGAAGCCACCTGGAATATACCCTGTGCAGGTCACTCCACACCGGTACCTCGCGTAAGTGGCGTCGCGGCTCCCTCACACCATCTCGGCTTGGCTTGAGTGTTGCGGGACTTTAGCTTACTGGGCAGGAAGACAGAGAAACATATACGTACATCGTTCATGCACTCGACCGTTGAGCGACGTTCCCAATATCTTAGCCAGTGTCACAACACTACATTAGCACCAGACCCGTCCTCTCTCCAAATAAACGACGCGAGCATAGCTAGCTCACCTCTGGGCTAAAATAAATAGCCTTGAGACTCCTACATGTCTCTCACGTTTCCATTCAAGTGTTCTAAAAGTGGCCGTCTCAGTAGGATGTGCGTCCTTGTGTTCCAACGCGAGTCGAGATGATGTTCAAAGCCGTTGTCTATGATGCAAGTAGGCCAAGCTCTTCCGCATCTCACAAGTTCCTCGATTTGGTAAAATTAACTTTGGCTGGGACGATAAGTGTCGCAGACTTGGAGGACGTGAAACGTCTGCATTCAATTTCTTGCAGCAGGAGTCTCCACAGCAGTGGGTCTGAAGCCCAAAGCTTGAAGGCTCGCCGTTCAGGTCGATCACGGCACCATCACTTGGAGTGGTGCGATGAAGCAGCTGGGCTATCCGGTCATCCCTACCTAAGTTAATCTGAGCAAGACCCGCAAGCATCAAACGTTGATTGAGCGCAAAGCGTCATTCTTTCTCCGCCTGGGTGATGGCCGTCGGTATGCAGTGCTCACTAGTGTGGATGCTCGGGCCCGTCATCGCGGCTTGAGCAAGTAATACACTTTCATGATATTCAATTCACCAGACATGCCCTTTTCTTGTGACTTCCTGCACTGTCGGCGAGAACTAGGAGATAATTTATCTCGCGTATACCAATCCCCGCGGCTCGCACTCCCCCCACCGCCGCCTCAAGCAGATATTGACACGGCTTGTACTTGGGTCCCATCAGCAGTCACAACGAACCATGGTCTATAGATAATATTTTGATTCTGACTTTGTCAATGTCTCCTATCTCGTCTGCTGTGCTCATATGTGTTGCCTGCGCCAAGGTAGCCAAGCCATACAGCACCGTCTCAATGAACTGATGCAGAATTCCACGTCCCACTTATGGTAAGTAGGTCTTCCAGCTTCAGATTTCAACATGTTTCATGGTTCGTCGAGGTCTTAACAATCGGAGAGTGGGCGGATGCAGTCTGCGTTATGTAGACACTGGAAGGGTTAGGGCGTCGGAGGGCCATCTTTGTCCTTTCCGTGACGCGGACTGCCACGCCCTAGCTTCGACGCAAGCCCCTCTCACGTGAGAGGGCCACGCCCCCCGTCCGATTGACAGTGCGCGCTTCCGCTTCGGGTTCAACCAACTTCTTGCTCATATTGAACACACTGCGTTGCGGCTGGTCTGCAGTAAGTTAAGTAGTAACAAATGCCCCTAAGTCATGCCGCTATGCTTCCATTGTTTCATTTTACGTAAATATCGCGTATATAATGAAGGTGTCTGCAGTACAGAAAGATGTGGATATCAGGTGGATTCAAATTCAGGTGCAATCGCACAAATTGCTTGGGGATTTTTCGACGCCTTTTGGCACGGGAGGCATGTGCATAATATCAGACGACGATCATGAGAAGGACATTTCTGACATGATACGTTCTCGGCAGTGCACATTCTCGTGGAGTGGATCCTTCTCAGGACATGTTACTAGTAACTTACTGGGGACATCTTGATATCATCGTTCGAGGGTTGCCCAATGTTATACTAATTAACCAGTCGTCATTCACGGATGATCGATTAAGACCGTGTTCTATAGCTGATAGATCATCGCTATATATTATCTAATGTCTGTTATCGTGGTATTAGCGATCAGATATAGTGATTTAACAGGAGCAACGAATTTCTGGTCCAATCCTTAGAGATACAACATCTCATCACCTCCTGAATGGCAGGTGATTTGATAAATAAAGAATTACATGTGCCAGAGAATCGGAGCTAACCGACGCAATTTGGTAAATGCATCTCTAAGTTGCGGGATAATGCCACACGTCAGATAGTGAACATGCGAGTGGTTGAGCCAAGATTATACTTACAGGACTTGTGTAATTGGGACGTACGAGGGGAAAATAAATAAAAAAGCGGAAAGAATTGAGACTGCCTTCTTTGAAAAGTATACTGGTGTATAGATGCAGTTCTCATTGGACCTCATGAAGGTGGACTCTAATATAAGGATGACAGCTCCGTCAAGCAAAACAGCAACAACAGTGTGGTGTATATACATACCGCAATACACCACGCTTATGGAGTTTGGGAAACCAAGAAATGAACATGGAGCGCCAGGAGACCACAGAACTTGGCTCGTGAGAACCAGAGTAGTCCACAATCTGGAAGGTAATGCGCTCAAGGCCAGAAAATTGCTTGCTCGCGCAGATTTGGTCGATCCGCGAACATTCATACTTATTAATCCCAGTCAGAACTGCTTGAAGAACATCGCCTGGGGTTGAGATATTTATACGGATGTGGATATCGTGCATTTGGTAAGAGGAGATTGTGGATAGGAGATAGGATATCCAACTACAACTGAAACTCGTTTCATGAAATGCCATGATATCGAGGATAAGTGTTTGCAGATTCTCATTGAAAGTGAGATTTAATGAGCGCGCGACTGTTATACACAAAAAAGTAAGCCAACAAACACTGTTTAAAGGAGCTCGAACTTACTCTCTCCAGTTCCATGGTCATCTAAATCGGCATCCACAACAGACGCGATGTTGAACCTGACATCTCGCAGAGATGTGCCCGCAGCTTGGAGTAGGCTCCCTATACCCGAGGGGCCCAATTCCGACACATGAAGACGACCAACTCGGAGGTCAACGAGATGTGCGCCATACTCAGAACCGACGAAAAATTCGACGGCATCCTTCATGAGTGTTTGGGAAGTGTCCAGGTACAAGTGTGTCAGACAATTGTGTGACCCGCTTCGCAAATAGACTGTCGGATCCAAAGAATATCGCGTCCAACGTAGACCCATGCATGCGAGACGTTGTAGATTGGGAAGTCCTTGAATGAGATGAGCAAACTCGTTGACGGAAGGAAAGTCGATGTCTCGGAGGTGGAGTGACGTGACGCATGTGAATTCAGATAGGGCCCAATAGAAAGTCGACGTCGAATGCACAGCCGGATCCCAGTGCGGCATGCAGCATAAATGAAGCGTGTTCAGGTTCGTCAGTTTCCGCGCCAGCATTGTTGGGAAAGACGTCAAAGGGTTGCGAGATCCGGGCCATTTCTCCGACTTGGCTAGATCATTGGAGATGTGAATGGACCGAACATAATCACCAAAGGAAGGCTTCGCTGTGACCATACGAGCAAAGCCGACCAACACAGTCATGGAACCAATGTCCACTTCCTCTAGCAAGATGACACGACTCCTTGGGTACCATCTGCGGCAAGTGAGGGCGCAGGCCAACAACGCTAGGCGATTGGCCACATTTCGAGATGTTGGATCTAGATGGTCTATGATTCGCTCGCATATCTCTATGGGAAATATGGGAGGTGAAAGGGGTAATATATGAGCTGGCCGTAGACACTGCAAAACACCAGCACACTCCTGATGGGCAGTGTCGAGAGACATTCACACTGAGGTATGAAGTAGAGAGAAGGAGAAGAGGGTTGTGGGTACGTACTCAAATCTGCATTTTGAACCAGCAGAACGTTTTTTTAGGACGCGCGGCGTTGAAGCTTGAAGGCGCAGCATCTACAGCATTGAGTCTTTCAACGTCGGGTCTGGCCGGATTGACAGCATTACTTGACGCTTAAGTGTCAGTGACTCAGAGCCGCAGCTGCAGCTAGCGACCATTTGCTCTTATTGTGGTGGTCACTAAAAGATGTGAAAATGCTAGGGTTCGGACTGAGGTGGATTTAAGGATGTGAATCAACGCTTGCAGAACGATGGCCTGGTAGCGTACACCCTGACATATATACATAACTCACGCGCACAATCATGTGGATTATAATGATGCAAAACAGCTCTGTTGACATGGACGAACATATCATGGGCGCTCTTTTAGCTCGTTGAACACCATCAATATCAATAACGAGGTCCACAATTTCCGGCTGAACCACGTACCATCACGCTGACCGTGGTCCTTCGTATGAGGTGGCCATTTGAGAGGCCAAACGTTTCTACCGTGTCCTATCTCACCCACAGACTGCCCTTTTCTGACTGAGATCTCGTGACAGAGCTACATGAGAAGCTGGAGGTTCAGGCTCAAGCATCATCTTGACAGTGCATCCGCAAGAATGGAGACGGCTCAGTCAAGGTTGAGTCAGTCTGCTACTATGAGCGCTCGTCGTTATGGGCTTCAGCCACAGACGCGCCGGGCGGCAAACGCGTATGTTCTTGTTTATTAATTCAACTACGACTAAGTAGACCTCGTTTGTCTCACCAGTCGCGTTCATTATGTCGAAAGCCAGCGAAGGACAGATCCGCCGTATGCTTTCAATCACCACAACACGTGAAAGTCATAATTTACATTCATATCCCTGAATTCACAGCATCCGGTTCTACAAAGAAACGAGCCGCTGACATTGTGAGTGAAGTAGATGGAGCACCGGATCGGAAGAGAGCGAAAGGTGAACTTCAGTGCCTACGCGTTCCACGATTTGACCAAGACTTATCCTACACTTTCGAGTGTTTCCCATCTTTGAGAAGCCGGGAACCCAGAAAGCCGATGCGGAGTCAATCTTCCACTGGATTTCTCCTGCACTCGGGTCAAAGAAGACTTGTCTACATGGTGTCAATCTTTCACCAGAGAGCCGCCCCAAGATTGCCGCCTTCGACTTGGACGGATGCCTCATCCAATCAAGCGTCTACAAGAAGAGTACGGGGCCACCCCAATTCCAATGGTGGAGATCGAGTATCCCCAAGAAACTCAAGGAAGTACACGAAGCTGGGTAAGTGTATTATGATTACTTAGCGCAGGTCTACATGCATCCCATGTGGGTTGACGGCGGACCATGATGTAGCTATGCAATTGTGATTATGACAAACCAGGCTCTGCGCTCAGCCGCGCTTGCTGATTGGAAGAAAAAGGTTCCTTTGATTGGTGGTGATGCAAGTGGTTCGTGTCATTTTATGCGCAGTTCAAAGGTCTGATACACGTGTAGTTGCCAGACGTCCCATTCCGCATCTTCGCCGCCACTGCCCGAGATGAATACCGCAAGCCAATGCCGGGCATGTGGTATGAGCTGGAACGCATATATGCGAGCGATAGTGTTCAAATAGGTTTGGCATATCCCCTGGTTCAGTTACAGCCCTGTTCAACATCGCCCGCGCAGATAGAGCGAATTCCTTTTTTGTTGGAGATGCAGCGGGGCGCGCATGCGATCACGCCGGGACGGACAGGAAGTGGGCACTTAACGTTGGGATTGCCTTCCACACACCAGAGGTGCGTGTTGCAAGAATATGTAATACTCATCTAATTTTCACACCAGGAATACTTCCTGAACCTGCCGAATGCACCATATACCCTATCAGGGTTCCATGTATCTTCTCTCCCCTCTGACTGTGAGAATGGACCATCCATTGACTTGAGCATGATGGATGACCTCGCATTGTAGTACCGCATATCACGCCTCCTGACGCGACTATTGTGCCTCCATCGCTGGAGACACCAGAGGTCGTTGTATTCGTGGGCTTCCCTTCCTTAGGGAAGTCCACCTTCTATAGAAAATATTTCGCATCAGCCGGATACGCCCATGTCAATCAAGACACCCTGCGGACACGAGATAAATGTGTTAAAGCGGCGGAAGAAGCAGTTCATGAAGGAAAGAGTTGTGTCATTGGTCAGTGTCAGGAACATAGTGCATTTATGTTACAAACGTTAGTAATTTTCTCCAGACAATACGAATAGGAATGCGGAGACGAGAAGATACTATGTTGAAGTTGCCCGTAAAGCGAAGATCCCTGTCAGGTATGTAATCTGAACATCTCAGTAATTTTCGTGTACTTGATGGATTACTTGAAGGTGTATAGTGTTTGATAGCTCTATCGAGCTCGCATGGCATAACAACCTCTATCGTGCATTCAATTTGCCTCCCACATCAATTGTAAGAGAGGTATGACCCCCATATTTGCTGGGTACAAAAACTGAGACTCGCGAAACAGCCGAAGAGAGATTTATTGCCGTATAATGCTTTCACGGGTTTCCGCGCACAATATGAAGAACCACAGTCCAGTGAAGGATTCGCTGAGATTGTTCACGTAAACTGGGTGTTTGAGGGAGATGAGGAAGAAAAAAGGCGGTGGAGCATGTGGCTGCAGATTGATGGAAAGTAATCTGCTGAGAGAATTTGCGCTGGTTTGGGGGTTTCTGTTTCTAATGCCCCATTTACTGAGAAATTATTCATGAGTAGTAGACGCGTTCGTTTCATGCTATGCGCGATCCTGAAACACAGTACTGCGGGTCTGATGCCACAGTCGACATTAACCGGCTTCTAATCAGTCGTCCTCTACCTTCTTGAGACCACTCAGATCTCTTGTTCCTCTATCAGAAGACTTGCTTTAGCAAACGCATACAAGCGATATCACAATACGCACGCAACGGGGAATCCATAGATATCGACGGCATCGACTCGAGTTTGATCTTCGTTTCCTTGGTTGGACTCAACAAAAATCTACGTCGTGGCAAGCACAGCGGAAATACTCAAGTTGTGCTCGATGATGCAGAGACACAGACGCACATGCAGACTAGTCACCGCTTGAAATCTAACGTATCGGAGCTGGATCCGCTTTCCATCCCGTACTTGGTCTTCAGAAAGCTCAAATTCCTGGGCGATAGAGCCATCTTCAATATCATCGAACCCCAGAGTGTGGCGATTGGTTATGAGTTTAATTTTACGCGGGGCCTGCGCCACATTGGATGTCTGGATAGCAATTGAGCGTATGCGCACAGTCTGGTTGAACTGCAGCTCGGTTGATCAATGCAGGAAGTCGTGACAGAGAACGTGTAAAAACGCACAGTTATGTTCAGGAGGAGTTGTTCGTCGACATCACTGAGGAGGTACGAGCTACCCGTGTTCCTAGAGCGAGAGGATAAGATCGACTTGAGTGAGTTGTCTCCCTCCTCGTTGAGACATGTCAACTGAGACAGGTCGAGATGTTCCAGCAGCGATTTCTGGGAGCACCAGTCAAACGCATCCCAAGCAAGGAACGGGAATTCAAGCCAGGCTTACTTCACTCTCTTCCATTGCAGTGAGCGAGTCGACGATTACTATGAGAGTTACAAGTATCGAGATTAGATAAGATCAGAGGCAAGGACAACGTAATAGGCATCGATTAGGCTCTCATAGCCGTGCAGAGCGAGCGATATAGAATCAGAGCGATATCCGAGTCCCCACAGACACAGACAAACGAAAGTTCAACACGACAATCACAAACGGCCCTCACACAATCACACACTCGTCTTTCGCGTCCTGACGCGTTGGCCGTGCCATGTTTGCCCGCTTGTTTCCAGACCGCTTCATCTCGGTAAGGCGGTTCATTGCACGTCTATTGCCTTGCGCTGTAGACAACTTCAGTCATGGATAGTGTGCGGCAAAAACAAACTGACCTGCTGCTCGCATGTACCATCGTTTCGCGAACTCGACATCCTGCTTAATGCCGATGCCGACCTCCGCGTAATACCCAACGGCATATTCAGCCTTGCTGACACCTTTGTTCGCTGCCCGTCGCGCCCACAGATACGCCTCTGAATCACTCTGCTTCAATACACCCTCGCTCCCAGTCAAGTACCATCCGCTCAGCGCAAGCTCTGCTTCTGAATGCCCCTTCTCCGCCGCCTTTGTATACCATGCAATCGACCGACGCGGGTCGACGGGACATGTCAAGCTCCCGTACTCATAACACTGCCCAAGTTTGTACTGCGAGTGAGTGTATCCAAGGTGCCCCGCGCGAGTGTACATCTCCTTTGCGTACGCGGGATCATACGGCACGACGCCATTCTTTGGGTTTTCATAGATCATCCCGAGCTCGTGCAGCGCATGCGGATTGTCCACATCCGCTTGCTCTGCAGCCCGCCTCAACCATCCCACGGCATCACGCGCATTAGGCTGCTCGCCGAGCAGTCCACGCAATAAGATGACGCCGAGCTTGTACATCGCGGCTGTGTCGCCCAGCGATGCAGACTTGCGATAAAATGCTAGTGCACGCTGCGGTTCCTTCCTGGTTCCAGCACCAAGCTCATTGCAAACAGCAACTCTGTAACAGGCGGCGGCGTGGTTCTGTTTCGCAGCCTGCAGATATAGATGGTATGCCCGTTCGTGATCCACCTGGAGCCCAAGCATACCGGTGCCATGGCAATTGGCCAAGAAAAATTGTGCCTCGTCGTACGCCTGTCCCTGGGTAGCCAAACGTCGGATTACTTTCAAAGACTCCGCGATGAGCGCATCACGATATTTCTTCACCCCCCGTTGATCTTTTGAATCGGCACCGAACCGTTTGGCTGCTTCAATCAGATACTTTGCGTACAGGAAATGTGCTTCTGGGTCGGGATCATCTTTAATTCTCATACGATACTGGTCGATGTACTGCTTCGTATAAGGAGGAGCACTGAGATCTATCGCTTTTGTTTTCTGGGTTCTTGGGCTGACTGACATCACCGTGCCAGATCTCTGTAGCGAAGGGCGATTCCGGAATTCGATATCATCGTCGCTCTGGATGCTAGCAGCATCGCTTCGGGGCAGAGATGTTTGTGAAGAACCCGCATAGATTGACGGTGTGCCCGAAGATGAATAGGCACCAGGACCGAGAAAGGGTACTGATTGGCTAGAAGACACAGGCGAGGGACCGGGGCCACCGTTGGCATAGTATTGCTGTGGTGGCATCTGGCCTGGTGGCGGTGGTGGCGAATGTCCGTATTGTGAAGGAGGGTAGCCCCCTGATGCGGGAGCACCAGGCGGAGGACCCATCCCAAGCACATCTGAAGCAGCAGCATACAGGCTAGCGTACTGATTTGGACCAGGGGGCGGAGCATGTACCGCGAATCCCGGTTGACCCTGCCAATTTGGTGGAGGTGGGTGCCCACGAGGCGGAAAGCCTCCAGGGCCTTCAGGTCCTCCGTACCCGGCCGGGGAAGGTAGCTGATAAACTGACTCGTCATACGAGTACATACTCGCCCCGTCAGTGTCTGCGGACCCACCGTACGCTCCATCGCTATACACGCTGTTGTAGTGACTGCCGCC